GGTTGTGAATGCTGGAAAAGGCTGGGTGTGTATCACTGCGAGTGTTAGTCACAGCCTGGAAACAGGGTAGGAAAACAATTGAAGCTGAATAGTTACTCAGCTAATTGCTTTGACTAAGTCTCACATTTGCATACCCTAAGCACCCAAACTCCACATTTTTACTTGACAATACTTGCCCTTCCTCTGGGGGTAAGTAGTACAAGTGAGTGCAAGGAAAAGGAACCGCTTGTGTTAAGAATCCTGGAGGACTGCAAAACTGACCAGATGAGCTCTGGAAAATGCACTGGAGCATACACACTGCACCAGTGCCACGTGCTACCACTCTGGACACAGCAGCAACGTGTCCTTTCCTTTAACTGCCTCAATCCAAAGCAAAGCAGCTTAGCTTTGAACTCGCCTTCGGGAGCCACCGGACTTTGCACCAGAACGAGCACAAAAGCACTTGATTCGCACTGACTCCCTTTGGGTGCTCTGGCAGCAACACAGCATGTAACATCACTGCAATCTCCCTCCTAAACAGATGTGCTCACACCTCTGGAGCATGAAGAACTTGGCCTGAGGTGTGCAGAGTATGGAGGCAAACAGAAGCTGCAACGTCAGTTTTAATTTCTGCACTTGGACTGAATTATTTACGAAGAAGTGAGATCGCAGCGAGCTGACGTTTTCACAGCAATTCCTTCTTGAAATGTGCATAAACAGAAACTTCTGAAACTTTCATTAAGGCTACAACTAAAGCCAGACAAGAGTAGATAAGCATTGCTGGGAGTATGCTGGGAGGATTTACCAGTGATGGCTTAATCTGATCGAGCCATGTGAGGGAACACATACACACTGCAGGGAGATAGAGGAGGACACTTTTAAGAGAAAACCAAGAAGTTGCTAATAATTGTATTAAGAGACATGATCCACCAAACATTCTGTCTTGCTTCTGTGTTCCCCTGGGTCATGCTCACATACAAGCTCTGCAGGGAGAGGGCAGGTTTTCTGCAGGATTATTAGAGGAGAGAGCACACAGGTGTTACAGGAAAGAAGGGCTGGAAATTGGAAACAGACATCAAAGGGGGTAGAGCTGACGTAAATAGTAAAGAGACTTGAGAGGGGTCAGTGAAAGATAGCTTTGGCTGGAGAGGGGGAAGAATGAAGGCCAAAAGATATGTTGCAATAGTCAGCTCATGACTAAGATCATGAATCACAGTTATGGTGGGGACAACAGGGACAGATTTTAAGGATATTGCCCAAGAGAATCTCAGTTGAGACAGAGAAAACACTGAATGGGAAACTGAGACTGGGGGAAAAGGGGCAATGAAGACTTCATTGAGCCAACAGAAGTAAGAACCAGCGAGAAGCCTGGATGAGGAAAGAAACTCTTTCTTTGAAATCAAAACATTCAAATAGTACTCAGTTTAAAGGACGTGAAATACAGGGATCAACACATTAAAATGCATTAAGCAATTAAATCAAGAGTGCATCTATTTCCTCGGATAATAGAAAAAAAACTTCAAAATAGGAGGCAACTGTTATCCTTTCAGTCACATTGTGGCAAGTATCCTGTGCATGGAAGGAAGGAAGGAGGGAAGGAAGAAGCAGTCAACCACAGTAACAGAATAACAACATTTCTATCCAGTTCAAGATACCAAGCAGTGACTTGTTTTCTAAAAACGTGTAATTTATTATATTATTTATTATATTAACTGGTTTTTAGCAGTTCTCAGAGACAAAAACCAAACGCCACAAATAAATCTGCTGAAACCTGCAGAATATGGTAATGTAGTGTCCAGCACAAAGGAAACATATAGAAAAGGAATCTTACACTGGAGGAAGAAATGATTCAGATGAGAAGGTTAGGCAAATTTGGAGAAGAAAAGCCACAGCTGAGTTTCAAGAGTAATTGCTTATTCCCCATGAACTGTTTTCAAGTCACTCATTTCCCCTCTGGTTCCTCCAGAAGAGCAATGAGAGGAATGCCAAGCATTCTGGCTTAGGAAGCGTTAATGAGTTTAAAGCACCATGATCTTACATGCAACTGTTCTGAAGGCTTTTTGACACAGGAAGAGATTTATGGACACCCAGAATGTTTGATCTTGACACTCTGACAAATAAGGGAAAAGTAATGAGTGAAGTAACTTACAAATACAGATAGAAGTTATCTGAGTGACTGAGTCTATACCTTATACTGATGGGATGGCATGGTAAATATCTCTAACTTCTTTTGTTGGGAAATATAATCTATTAGGTTTAAAAAAAAAAAAAAAAAAAAAAAAAAAAGGAATGCCTAAATAGTTTTGCAGAACACTAGACTTGTGTAAACCTGTAACTTGCATCCTGGTTCCATCCAAAACCTGTCATATTAAAATGAGGCTGGTGAGCCTCATGTGATTTATCTAAATGTTTTCATTTATCACTTTTAGCCTTAAAGCTTTGTTCTAATCCAGGAGAGAGATGTGCATCTGAAAAAAAAACAACCTCCAAATTCAGCGTGCCCTAAAACCAACAGCCAAGCAAAGCAGCACAGATATTTCTGTACCCAAACTGCTCCACTGGGGCAGAACTTCGTAAGGAAAGCTCAGGGTTGGATACATCTCACAGATCTCCTCCATCCAACAGTTTTCTTGGCTGTTGGGTTTTTTTAAGGAGGTTGGTCTGGTGAGCGAGAATTGCTCTTTTAACGATAATTTGCATACAGTCTATATTAAATAATTCAGAAGTAACCATCCCCTGTTCCTTATCACATGGGACTTTTGGCTTTGACATATTTTGACCAGGCATAAATGGGCAGGATTCGGTGTGCACAAAATTATATTTAAAAAGATATAAATTACACTTGGATAGTTTTCTAGACTTCTGCTAGTGGCCTCTGTTCATAAAACTTGTTGCCTTGTGATGGTCCAGCCTCTTCTACTCATTTAAGAAGAGTAATTCAGTGGTATTAAATTAATTTTCACTTAGCAAATGTTAGCTCTGTAAAACTTCAATGATCACTCAAGGAGAAACAGAGCTGTATATCTGCTGTTTCAGCTGATAAAGGGCTGGCTACAGGACTAGGTGCCTGCAGTGCCTGTTCATACAAATACCCAAATGGGAAGGCTCTGTAGCTGAATCCACCTTCTTGGGAAAGTCTTTCGTGATGACTCAGCATAAGCAAGGCCCCACTGTCTGCTAAAACCTTTGTCATCAAATCAGCAAGAGAAACCCCAGCGAACATCGGAGCGCAGGGTCAGCCGACTTCCTGTGTTTTACCTGTAGCTGGAGGAGGTGACGAAGGCGCTGACAGTTTTTCCTGGTGTAGTCTCTCTCCCAGGCTTCTGAATGAGTCTGTGCTGACTGGATCTGCTCATCTGCTCCCACAGAATTTGTTTCCAACTGGCTACTGGAAAGACGGAAAATCAACAACTGCACAAATCTGACTGCTTGTTTCACAACCGTCGAGTTGTTAGGCAATAACAATAAGGTGATTGCATATTAATAGAATATAACACTAATTAAATATTATTCCAGCTAAAAGCCTAGTAAGCAATCTAATTTGTGATTTCTAAAAGCTTGCACATTTAAATAGCTAATGGATATTTATGATATTTAGTATGTCATTAAGATTCGAACTGTGATACAAATTTACACAATCTAGTCGGTAACCTACACTTTAAAAGCTCTTTCAGGAAAAAAAGGAATCATTAGAGTCTCCCGTGTAAATATTTTAAGTGCAGAATAGATTCTACTCCTTCACTACAGATGCTTTCTGCAACATCAGCCATTTTTATCAACAAAAAGTATCCAAATTCTTCGGAAGAAACACTTCCAATGCAGGGATTAGGAAAGCTCTCTTCCATGTCTGGGTAACACAACCCTCCCTGCTGACCATGCTGTAGATGGAGGTTGCTACACATTTGGTGTGGGATGAGAAGCCCACAGCTCATTTTAAATTCCAATAAATATTTTGTGCTTTTACTGCCTCCAGGACGTGCTTGTGCGTGAGTCAGGACAAGATGAGCTCAACAGCTAGCATAAAGCTCAGACAGCCTGGCAAGCCTCTCACTGGCAACAGTAGTGAATCCATCAGAACGTGTATATTCCCGAGGCAAAAGCCTGCATCCATACCAAGATCTTACTTTGGGGAATTGTACTGCAGCGCTTGTACCACGTCACCTCAGCAACCAGCAATACAAGCATGCTTGCAAACAGACCTCCTAAACCCAATCTGAAAGTTCAGTATGGAAATTCACACAAAATGTCCTCTGTCTCCACAGCTTCCTTGCCCACACGAGAGGGGAAACAGGTTGGAAGGAAGGAGCCAAACTGAATGAAAAACTTGTCTTCTCAGATAAGATCTTTAATGGAAATAGTCCCTGATCCTTGTTATCAGCTGATCTCTGCTACACACAGAGGAAATACGTAGGTGTTAAAATTGGGAATTTAGCTACTAAATCAACTGATTCTTGTGGCACTGGGTGTTGGCCCGGCTTGGAGCAGACCTTGGAGGAGCACTAGTGATTGAGAAGTTGGACTGTGACCAGAACCAGCTTGAAACAGTCTTAAAAAGGTTAAAATAAATGTGAGGGCTTTCATTAGCTTTGTTTTCTGGGGTGAATGTTGCCTTTTGCTGGTTGGTATGAGCCCTGCTTTTGGGGTTTTTGAGCCTCTCTGTTACTGTTGTTCCTGCACTGACTGCTCTGGTGTCCAGGGGCCACGTGCTTAAATTTATGAGACATTTGTGGAATTTAGTGTGGTGCTCACTGCAGAAGGGGCCAAGCCCTCAGGACAGTGCTCTCCTTTCCCTTCTGGGCCTCAATCAACTTCCCATTAGAAACATGGGAAGCGAGTCATGTTTCACCTTCGGCACTCTACCATTGACTACTCAGGTCAGTGATAAAGTGAGTTCTCTTTTAGGTTTGTTTTTGGGGGGATTTTTTTCCCTGAACAAAGTGCAAACGGGAAGGCAAACACGCACTTCCATGATTTTGGAGAGCCAGCAGTGTTTTTGTGTAGCGATGGGTCCCCCCGTGCTTGCCCTCACGCAGGTGGGCACACACTTGATGGAAAGACTTGGTGCCTCAGGCTTTGCCTCCCTTCGTCCCGGATCTTGGTGAAGCTGCGGGGGCGCAGAGGGACCCAAGGCCAGTGGGATGTGAGGTGAGTGAGGGGTGAGGGTTCTTTTCTTTCATTTTAGGCAATGTCTGAGGGGGTCTGAGGGGAGGGTGTGAGGGGAGGGAGAAGGCAGAACTGTGAGGAGGTGTGAGGGGTCTGAGGACTGAGATGGATGTGAGGGGGCTGAGGACTGTGAGGGGGAGTGAGGACTGTGAAGGGGAGTGAGGACTGAGATGAGTGTGAGGGGGCTGAGGACTGTGTGAGGACTGAGCGGGGCCGTTCCCGCCCCGCCAATGGCGCTCGGCCGCGGCGGGAGGTGTGTGCTGACCTCACTTCCGGGACCTGTCACGGGCCGCTCCCCCGGTGTTCCCGATCCCGATCCCGCCCCGCCGCCAACCGGGGACGCGGCTGTGCCCGCCCGGCCCCGCGCAGCGCAGTCCGCGGGCCGGCAGCGATGCACGGTACTGCCCTGGGGGCGCCCCCCGCCCTGCCGCGCCCGAGTCCCGCGGGGCTCCGGGGAGGAGGCGGGAGCGCCCGCCCGGGGCTGGTGACGGCCCCGCCTCGCTAACGCGGCGGCGACTTTGCTAATGACCTGTCCTCTCTTCTCCTCCCCTCCCTCGCTATTCGCTGCTCCTTATCTCCCTCGCCCTGCGGTGCGAAGCCCTCGGCGGAGCGGCAGAGGCAGCGGGCGGAGGTAGCCGGCCCGGGGAGATGCTGTAGCGGCTCATGCTGCGCGCTCGCTCGGCGCCGGCCGCCAGCGGTGGGGGCCGGGCCCAGGGGCTGCGGGACGGGCAGAGCCGGCCCAGCGCAGGAGGGCGGGCGGAGGTAAAGAGCCAGCCTGGGAACCCCGGGGGGAGCGGGGAACGGCAGGAGGGGTGGTGCCCCCGTCACACAGGGTGCTGCTTGGCAACTGTCATGTGTCCTAAATGGGGCACATCTGGGTTGTCCTTAACCTGGAATGAACTCGGCACTGGGCACAAAGTAGGAGCCTGGAGGTTCCCGCTGTTCGCTTGGCTGGGCCGGGCGGGTTGTGCTGTTCCCGGTCGGCTGCTCGGAGGGAAGCCCCTCTGCCTTGGGAGTGAGGAGTGGGGCACGGGCAGCGCCTCCGGGGCTCTGCGGTTTGGTGAGTTCTTTGTTGTCCCCCCGGGGCTGGCCACTTGCTTTTCAGAAAGCATTCCAGAAGTGCTAGTGGAAAAGAGTGCGAAAACGCACTGTATTTATATGAAGGTTGGCACAGTCTGGGTGACACGGGTAGCTGTTCCTAAGGTCTCTGAGGGAAGCAGTGTGAGTACAGGATTTGTCAGACAGGATTATCTGGAACGATAATTCTGGCACTTTGGTGGCATTGGATGTTTTAGTAGTACTGCACTAATAGAGGCGCCACACAAGTTTTGTTGCGAAGGAAAGCGGTGGTCAAACTGCACTTGTTTTACAGAATATGCACAGATTTTCTCACTGGCATCTCGCACTGATCACTTTTAGATATTTGCTTTGCAGGCAGCCAAACCGATCTGCTATACAAACTGGTTTGTTTATGAATTCTGAATCCCTAACTGAGCACTGAGGATACCTGGTCTCGTGTTGGAACTGAGGGCAGTTGTGGTTCATGTGATGTGGTCACACGTCTGCTCAAAGCTAAACCAGTGCCATAACCTTTGTTAGTTGGCATGAGCTGCCAAGTGGCCATCGGCTCCCAGTTAATTTAGTGGCCAGTTTGGGGATTTTGAGTAACCTGATGTGGTGTTTTGGAAGGATGAGGGTGTGTAGACCTTACCAGAGGTTTGTGGAACTGTGCAGACAGCATGCGCCCTCGCTTTTCCCATGTTTGAAAGGAACTCTTGGTATGGTCAAAAAAAAAAAAAAAAAATTCTTACCAATCTTTTGCTACTTTATATTCACTGTCATCCTCTGCAGTCAGGTGCACAGAGAATTTTGGCTACCTACTGCAAACCTGCACATCCTAAACACCCGGTGGTTTTGTCACTTGCTTTTCAGTGGTTCTTTAAGGTCTTAATTTTCTATTAATCCTGTAGTCTTCAAAAAGGCTATCATGAGTTTTTAAACCATGAAGAGAGGGTTACATTTCAGTTGTGATTTCGTCCAGTTATGCTTTTAATATTTCATGTGTGGAGTGTTATAAAAATGCTAGAGCCAATTATGTCCTACAGGAGAGTAGATATATGACCTAAGGTATTTAGCTTGTTCTAGAATATGGATTATAGTGCTCACTGTTGTCCCAAGGTGGACAAGGAGGGCAATGGGATTTTTCTTAGTATTTTTTTTTAGAACAGCTTGTACTTTAAAATGGCAAACAGCACTATTTTTCTCTTTAGCTTGTTGTAGTTTTCCTGCTGAGATTCGAGTTCTGTTTCTCTTGCAAATTTTTGCAAGGGGAAAAAAAAGAGGACACCATACTTGTCTTGGAAAATAAATTAATTCATATTTATTATATGTTCAAGCATACTTTCTTAAAGATTTTTGGAATTTTAACTTTCTTTTTCCTTTAATCTGACTACTTTTTCACAATCTCCCCAAATCTTTTAATTTTTTTGAATTTTAGAGGTATGTATAGTTTCTGTTGTTTTTAGTGGGCCTTGTAATGTATATAAAAGCAAAATCTGTACCTTTGGCGTGTAAATGGTACTTAAAGGCCAACTGCAAAAGCATCTTATGCACCTTGGAAACCATAAGTTTGTCCATTGAAAGACTTGGACATTTATGGGAATACTCCTTATTAGTAAAAGTATTTTGCTTTATAACAGATAATTAAAATAGCCCAGAGCTGTCACTATAGTGTTGTCACTATAGTTGAGTGGTTTTGAATTTTTCCAGTATGAACTAAAAAGGTCAGAATGATATTGGGATATACCAGTCATATTCCCTAGTTGGCTAGATGTCAGTGTGGTCCTACTGTAAAACCAGTGACATATTAAAAGCCTCAGTCATTTAAAATATTTTAGCCTAAGTGAAATGACAGCATTTATTTCCTGAAGAAGCATTAAGGAATATTTTTTAAAAGCTTTAAATTACATCATATCAATATAAAATCAGAATAGTAAGCTTTGGAAAATTTTGTTGACTATTTTTATTTTTTTAAGAAAGGATGTCAGCCACTTTTTATTGATGAAGAACCACTTGTTATCACCAATGTGCACATGAAATGGAAAGGGAACAGATTCCAGGAAACAACTTCTGTTACCACCTTGCAAGATGCTGCCTGAAGTGGTGAGTACATATGTGGGCTGGGGGCTATCCTAGCATTGCTCTTGAACAGCTAGGGAAGAACAAACATTTAGGGTGGAATCTCTGTCAAGAGCGATTAACACATAGTCAACTGACAAGGAGAGAAACCTGAGCAAGTAGTGCCAATAAATAATTGATAAACAGAAAGTAGTAGCACAATCAGGAGAAAGTAAAACTTCCTTACATTCTGATATCTACTACTGTCTTAGGCAGTAGTCAGTAGAATTCTGAATTCTTAATATTTTAGAAGTAGAGTGATCAGGATTTCACTGTCAAATATTGAACAACTTGTTAAGAAGTAGAATGCTGATTTTTTCACTGAATTAAAAAGTACTTATCTGGTTGGGTTAGGCTCTAAATCATCAAAATAAAACTAAAGTCTCTCAAAGAGTGTGATATTTGGCATGTAATAAAAACATTGAATTGTTATGAGAAGATTGTTGTGTGGCCGGATTGCATGTGGCATTGAGATGTTGCCAAGTCTGACTCCACTTCCTCATACCAGTTCTCATAGTTTCTGCTTATGAAACAGTATTTATTTATAAGTGCATTGCATGTGTCTTTAAATATCTAGGAAGTGTAATTTCTGTGTCCAGTGAAGGGCTTCTTGTGCACAGATTAATACGAATTATAAAATACAACTCAAATTATAAAATACAACTCATTGGCATTCCAGTCCTGACTGAGGCTTGAGTTGTTACATGAGTAGCTGTGTGGGTCTTTGCTGTGTCTTAAAATGCACGTGGGGTTGAAATTGTTTTTCCTTTGGAAAGATGCAAATTACCAAAGAGGCAGAGTTTGTTCTTTGGTATGATATTCCTCTAAATTTATTGGTTTAAGTTCAATTTGTCTCATGCCTGTGGAAACACTAAGAGTAGAGTGGCAAGCGTTTGGCAAATTACACATTCCTTTCTAGAAATGCTGATGTACTATCATGGCTTTTACAAAATATATAAACTGAGAAATTACTCAATCTTTCCAAATAGTAAAAGAAACTTGTTCAAAAATGTGTCTGCCTTGAGGAACTCAGAGGAGTGAGCAGCTACTGAAGTTGTTTCCAGGCAGATGCATATGTGAAAGTGAGTTCGTCCAATATTTTCATATTTCATGATTTGGTATCTCATCAGTTTGTTTTCAGTTTGTTGATAAGTACATAGAAGGAAACCAGAGATGCTGTTTGGTGTGCAAATTAAGTGCAGGTTGAGTAACGCCTTACTCATCTGTGAGTGTATAATATCCTAGAGCTGAGAGAATGTATCGTTATGGATAGTTTAGAGTTTGATGTATTTTACATTAGAAAATGGTGCCATAATAACTTACTTACAAAAAAGTATAACTTACAAAAAAAAGTATAATAAAATAAAAATTGATTATTTGAAACTATTCCACAGCCTGTGATTAAGGTTTGGAGGCAGGATTACTGTTTTGTTGTATATATCCATGCATCCAGCACTGTTACACTGAGTAAATACTGTTATCTGCATATAGGCTTGTATTGCCATTCTTTTCCTTTTTTTTTTTTTTTTGTAACACAAATAAGTGCTACATGCCTGTTCTGTTGTAAATAATTATTTATTGGAAATGATTGATATAACAAATCACAGGACAAACCACTGAATGTGAATGTTCAGAAGGTAAGAAGAACTTCTGTCGATTTGCAACACCTATCTGAAAGTGAAGACTTGAATTAGTGAGGATATCTCCTAACCTGCTGTTGGTGTTACTGCTTCAGCAAGAATGGTATAAAGTACCTAACACTGGAGTCCTGGGGCAGGGTCCCATTAAACAAAACACCCCCCCATCTTTATTCAACACGTGCAAGGGGGAGGACGTGTATGAGGGAGAAGTCAAGAGACTTCTTTGGAGGCTCCTGTGTTCATTAGCAGGCAGTGCCTAGTGGATTTCTGTCCAAGGGCTGGGGAATGCTCCAGCATGGCTGTCCATGAATGCACTTACTCTGGTGTTAAAATTATTGCAGCCCACAGATCATAGTGACTGTTGTTGGCTCGTTGGCAATTTTCAGGGGAAGATTACAAGATATATCTATACAGTGAAATTTATTCTTGCCTCCTTCAGGATAAAAGACTGCTGTGTGCAGTTAAGCAGGCTAGTCTGATCAAATTGGGTAGCAAGCTTTGGCACCTATGTAAGTAAGAGACAAGCAGCACGGGATACAACCTTTGAAAAAAAGCAGTAGCTGTACATTTTGTGTTCTGTGCTTCCACACAGACATAACTGCACATAAACATGTCCATGTTTTCAAACCGCTGTCAAATGTTGAACTTAAATGGATGTTTTGGGCACCTGATTTTCAGCATACTGAGCTGCCGTAATTCCAGGTGAATTTACAAGGAGTTGCGTTTTCTCAAGATTATAAATCCTGTAATAAATCCTGTGGAAATGTACAAGTGATTAGCCTTTAAGAATACAAATTGTTCGGTTTGCAGCTTTCATTCAATTTCTCTTTTACATGGCAAGGGGGGGGTTTGTGTATGAATGAACACTTAAATGTAAAAAGGACAGAAAATAGGATGTCTTCTTTCTCTGTTGTTCCTGATAGCCCTGGAGATACAGGCTACAGCTACAAATGTGGTTACAGAGCATGATGGATCTGATCTAGGCCCCTTCTTCCCTACCACCATCCGTATGTTTCTGTCTATTCTTTTTGCAGCCCCTCAGTGGGTCTGTTCAACCATCTCTGGTTGTTTATAGTTTTCCTGCGTTACACTTAGTAAACGGAATTGTTTCACTGGTGCTGTGTCTGCACTGGGGAATAAGCCGTGCCAGGGACTGTTCTCGGGAGCTGGAGCAGCCCGATGGCTGGGACGCAGCCGTGCTCCTCCCCGGACAGAGCGGCTGCCCCCGGCTCCAAGGCCTAGCGCTGTGCTCCTGGCCTGGCGTTTCCCTGGCAGTGAGCCAGGCTGGTGTGTCCAGGGTGGTGTCCCGGAGGACGCTGACACACGGCTTGGCCCTGCTCTGGGCTCCCTTACTATTGCAGGGGTGGCCAAGGGCGGGAGCCAGCGCAGGCACCCGGGGGTGGCGTGACTGGGAAGGAGGGAGTGAGAGGGAAGGTGCGGGGACTTGTGGAAGAGATATCCTTGTGATTTGAGGGAGCTATTATGTTACTTAAGCTTGTCAAAGTACCTTTATTTTGCAACCAATGGCTCGGTTTGGCTCTGCAGAGAAATGCATGCTGTGTCCCTATAACTGCTCTTTCAGAGTCTGGTTCAAGCCAGCTAAAATGCCTTACAAAGTGAAGTAAAACTAGAATATGAAAGTACATATATTGCTTTTTAAACAGGCTTTCTTATCCTAGCTGTTTCCCTGGACTCATGTTTTAGTTCCACCTTTCTGCAATTCAGATGCTTCCTCAGTTAAAGGAGTTGGGGTGGCAATGCTGGTATTGCTGTTGAATTGGTAACCAGGCACCCTTTGTGTCGTGTGAAGGATGAGGCAGGAAAATAATGGCAGGAAAATAATTGCTTATATTTTAACACTTTTGGATCTCGCAGGAGCGTGAGGCTTGTGATCTCCATACTGTAGAGAGTGACCTGATTTAGAGCTGTGAAGTCATGTGTCCCAAGAATATCCTCTATCTGTCATGTCAGGAGCTTGCAAGTACAAGTACATGATGTCCATTTGCCAAAAAATGTAGATTAATTGCATTCATGCTAGTTGCCAAGGCTCTTGTCAGCAATGCTAATTCAATGTAAACTTTGTTTTTGTGTGATACATTTATCACAAAGAAAAACTTTTAAAGGTAGGGGTGTCTGGTTTATCAGACTAAAACTGAAGGCCTTTGTCATAACAAAAAAAATCCCAAACAAAAAACAAACAAAACAAAAGGTGAAATAATTTTGTTTCTCATTCCACTTTGCGTCCTCTGAGTTGTGGCATGGCATTAAATTGAAGTTAGATTATTTTTAGCAGGTTTTATTTGTGTATTTATTTAAGTGTAATAACTGAGCAACAAGAGCCTGTAAAAATAGTTTGAAGGAGCGAGTGAAATAGTAGCATAATGAAGAGTAAATAAACTACACAACTCCAGGTGCTGTTTATAGAAGACATTAGATTTTTTGTGCTAGTAGAAGAGTATGAAAGCTAGTCCATTGGAATCACTCTAGCAAAAAGACACTGGCAAGCAGAAGGGGCCTAAATCTGTAATACCTTGTCTAAGGGTCATTCTTTTTCATAGGATATAAATTCTTCTGTTAAGCTGAATTTAGTTTATCACATCAGTCATGTTGTTATGTCTGGGCAAGGGAATAGAGTTTATCACTGAAATAAAACCACTGAAAATACACAGTGGTGGTGTTCTCTGCTAAGAAGGCGAATTCAGGCTTCTTGAATCTCTTCCAGAAACAGATGTAAATTGCTCTGTTGCTTTTCAAATAGTGAATAATCCTGGTCTGTTATGGTGGGTGATGAATCATGCAGGGGGCTGCAGATGGTGAGGCGGGTGCAGCTGTGCAGACGCTGGAGGAGCTGGGGTGGGAGACTGCAGGGCCCGAGGGGGTGAAAGAGGTGATTTGGGGATGGGCTGATATGGCTGATGAAACAGTATTGGAAAGGAGTATGCCAGGGAAAGCCCGTAGTGTAACCTGAGGTTTGGGATCGGGAGAGGGAAAGGGGGGCACTCTTGGGGTAGAAAGATATTTTTTGTTGTTATTGGTCTTTGAAATGAAAGTTGCAACATGAAACACCAAAGTAACTGGACTTTGTCCTGAGCCAAAACAAGAAGGAGCCCAAGCTTAGATGTAGAAATTTAAGCTGTAAACAAATAGAAAAAACTAAGAGACTTCATGTCCCTTTTAAAGGCATGCTGGTCGTAAGTAGAGAGCTGTTGCAGGAACAGGTACAGATGCAAATCTGTGGGCTTTTGTATTTCAGTTTTGCTAAGCATGACCTGTGTAATGAGATCAGGGTCGCAGTGTTTGGGAGTTTGTCAGGTGGAGAAGTTATATCTGAATAGGTAGACTAAT